GGTGCCGACGGCAGTGTGTTTGTGACCAAAAATACTGTTGTGAACATAGGGCCCATTCTAATCGCGTCCACACAACCAGCCGCTGTTATAGCGAGAAAAATAAAACACAAACATTTTCAAAAAGAGAGCAAATGTCCTCTTCCACTTATTACGAGCGTCGGATCCCCATTTGGTGGCCCACTGCTCGAACCAATCCAACCACTTGCCATGCGGGCCAAGGCCTGGCAGGCCATCCCCAGAGTGTCAGACTGGGTTATGGGGATAATAAAATGAGGTTATACACTCCAATTCGCTCGAAGACCCCAGCGATTCAGCGGCGTGGTCTCCACCTTGGTTCAGACCGAGGATGCACATGTCCTACGTGCCGAGGTGATGAATTTGCTGGCAAAAGGGAACGGTTCCACGGTTCCCTCAGCTGAGAGCGAGTCAGGCTTCTTCAGCCGTTACTTCCTCGTCCACCAAGAAGGATGGCGCTCATCCTCATCAGTGTACAGTAGATTTATGCTTTATCACTATCAATCACTAATCTTTCTTAAAACAAGCAGACCTTGTTGTGGATTTTTCTTGGGTGCGGCCAATGAAGTGGAGGAGCAGAGTTCCAGATGTCAAAATAAGACTTTATTTAACAAAGAAATAAACCCGGGAAGACAGTCACAGCATTCCAAATCATTCCAAAGTCTTTGTTTGTCAACTCATATTATATACCCCTTGTTCTCTCCAAATTTGGTCATTTTCTGTTTTTTCTTTGTTCCGGTTACTTTTTATTGGTTATAGATACCTGATTTGCCACAATTGTTTCCAACTCTTTTGGCCTTGTTTTCTAATTGGTTGGTAGTGTGGTCATACTAGATGTGTGTCAAATTTATCTACTTGCTTTTGTTTTGCCACCTTCCATTGGTTGGTAATGTGGTCATACGAGATGTGTACGTCACATCCATCCACCTGTTCCTGATAATATTAGATTATTTCATGTTTACGTCTGCTGTCTACTGAAAGGTCCATTGTCTAATGGAAGAAAAAACCATTATACGTGTTCCTAATAACGTTACATTATTTCAAGCTCACTGGTGTACTGTCTAATGTAAGATTCACTGTCTAATGAAAAGACTATTATTCGTTCTATGACAT